CCTAACCAAAATTCAATTGATTTTAACCACCGGTTTACCTTAACCAAATCGCAATTCAATTGAACCGGTCCAACCACCGGTTTACCGAGTCAACCGAGTTGACTCGCTGGGTTGACCCGGCCGAGTTGACCGAGTCACCGGCGAGTCACCGGCGGCGGTCACCGGCGGCGACGGTGGTCCGGCGGCGGTCCGGCGGCGGAGGGACGGCGGTCCGACGGCGGCTCCGGCGGCGATCCGGCGGCGGCGGCGGCTCCGGCGAGTGGCGGCGGCGCGTGGCTTACACGCGCGCGCGGAGGGGAATCTTGCGGGGGCGCGTGACGGCGGCTCCGAGCTCCGATTGAGGCGTTTTTGGGGTCTACGGCTTCGTCTCGACGAGTAGAACACGGTGGTGGCCTTGCATTCACGAGATTCTCAACGGTTATGAAGTTATGGTCAGTTTTCTAAACGGACAAAACAATGCTTGTAGGTGCGGCAGATTCCGGCGGTTTCTTGCTATGGCGAGTGGTGGTGATGAGCTTGGCGTAGTCACGGTGTCTGGTGGTCGTGGCGAGCTCCGGAGGTGGCTCAGAATCAAGGATTTCCCTTCTTCTCTCTTTCTCTCTTCCTCTCTCTCTCTCTCTCTCTCTCTCTTTTATTTTTCTTGCTGGTGGAGAAAACAAGGTGCTGAGCTAGGGTGGTGGGTATTTATAGAGGGGAGGAATAGGTCTTAGCATGCTAACAAGTTTTGTAATCAGATTTGGGGTCGTTACAGTTGTATTTACGTTTCATATCAAATGATTAGATTCAAAAATGACATTAACATGTAGATATATCAACAAAAATAAATATATAATTAAGAGTACGTATGAACCAAAAATATTCTCTTTACAATCACTAGATACAGGTTTTTGGGTCGTAAACCGTAAGATAAATAATATAATAGATTTTGCAGTCTCTAACTGTTGAATTTAAATGTGTCTTAGGATTACAAGTAAGCATGCCCCAAGCAAAACCCAAGTGTGTGATAGAAGAATATATGATACTGTTCAGTAAAAAGATTGAAGAATATATGACCCACTTACCATCTGACAAGTTGTTGCTGAGACACGATATTCCTGACTTTTATTGATGAGATTTTTTTAAGAAAGAAGCAAGGAGTACTATTATGAAACGATCTGAAAAACGTGAAAAATAAAAGTTAAAATCATTCATCACAGTACACAAAGTGATAATTCTCAATCTCGTTTGCTTCGTTTATATAGAAATATATGTAGGAATATGCAAATACAGAGATGGTAGATAAGGAAAAGAGTTTGATAAGCATTAACTCTGGATCCAGAGGAGGCGTTGGTCGTTGGATCCATCATCCATCATAGTACCATTTATTATGTCATCGTGGCCGTTTTGTGTAGTGCTTACTGCTTAGGGGAGTGGTCCAAGATGCTTGCTTCTTTTTGTTGTTATTAGAAAGTTTTTTGAGTTGAATTTTGAGTGCTAAGCCTGGCTTATGCTTAAAAAGGTTGCCCTACAGCTTAGCTAATTAATAAATTATGGAGATGAAAAGATGTAAGAGATATTTTTATAAACTCACCACCAAATAGGTATTAGACTGAATCTTGTAAATGTCAACAGTTCTTACAGCATATATTAAACTTATAAGGGAAGAAAAACAGATTTTCTTTGTAGATTAGGTGGGTATTTCTTGGTTGGTTCAGTTATTTCGTTTTATTAGAATTACAATCAATTTTCAAGAAATCGATAGGCGATGATTAGACGTTTTATAGAGGATTAATGCATAAGTGTATAGACACCGTCTAACTATATTTTAAGAAAATATCAGTTTTGTTTATGTTTTGATTTACCGCCTCTGACACCAATTTTCAAAACATTGATTTATAGTTAACTGTAACCAAAGTCATTTACATTCGACTAGAGGTTGGTTTGGGCATGGCTTGTTTTGATTTACATTTGATAGAATAAAATTATCAATTTTTATATGGTTTTCTATTTATACTCTTAACCTCTCTTGGCTATGTTGTTTTTTAATCTTTCTGTAGTCATTACTAAACGTCTAAACCAGTCTCCTTTGCATGTCGAAGTAGCAATACAATGTTTGGTGAACCACATAAATATGTGCTTGTCTCTGCGTTTCTATTCACTATTGTCACATCCATCACAACACTTGATGTAGCTGAAATAGAAAGAAATCGCTAAAAAAATGTTTTATTTTTCGATTTTCCCTTTGATTCGGTCTTTACCAATATGTTTGTGTAACGTGGGAATATGAAATTGTAGTAACTTAAGCTATCATCAACACAAAGTCTTGGAATCTTGATATCAGTTGATTATTACTTCTTGTGCCTCTGTGATGACGAGTGGAGCACGAGGAACCGTGGGCTGTAGCGGTGAGCAGTCCCAATCTTTACCGTTTTTAACTACTGAGAAATGCTTGGGAACCCATGACTCACCAGAAACCTCTCTCTGCTTCAGAGACTTTCTCTGTTTTTCCTCCACAGCTTTCTTAGCTTCTCTTGCTCTGTCCCAGTCTTTATTCAGTATTCCTTCACTTACTTCACTCCACACCATCGCAGACTCGCTTTCCATCACCTCTTTCAGATTCTTGACAGTTGGAGCTTTGAGTCCTGAGATACTCTCCTTGGCATTGTATATAACCTCGAGTTCACCGGTCTTCAGATTTTTAGCCGATACTGTTCTGAAACATTATAGAATGTCAATGTTAATAACATTACGCAATTTACTATGTTATTAAGAGTTGTAAAGCCGTTATGGTTCATGTTTTTACCTGTCCCAATGGCCAAAAATGTCGTAGAGTTTAATCCCAGAGGAAGATTCAGAGATCTTTCCTTTGACTGATCTTTTGTTGTTACCTCTGAATCTTTCGATGAATGAATCTGAGACCAAGTGTAACTCGGCTTCAAGATCGGTCTCTGGACACTTTATTTTCATTTTTTCAGTCCAGTCAACTCTCGGCACGGGTAATAATCGTATGATTAGTCTTGGTTGATTCATATCGTAAGTCTCTCTTCGGTTCTGAAGCTTCATTATCCTTTTTCCCTTTACCTCAAGCTCTACGTAAGCACCTTATTAATCATGAGTATACGCAATTAGATTTTCTAACCAAGTTGATTGGTGCACACACAAAAATAAAAAAAAACAAGAGGATTAAACCGGACACATAATCATGATAAATCAGTTGGAATGTGTGTCCGGTAAAGGAGTAAACCGAATGCTTTTTAAAATCGGTTTAATTTGTTATTTGGACGGATTATTCAAAATTAGAATTCGCTTTGTGATAATCTGAATGTTACTGAAATAAGATTATAAGCATACCACGAAATTTAGGAATGAAATGTTGAACCCACATAAGGTCAATGTTTTCTTTCTCGTGAGTAGCTTGAAGTGCGGACACGGGAGGATGATGCGAGACCTGAAAAATTAGCGATCTAAGTACGATGTCTATATTACAATTGTTTCAGAAGTTTAATCGACGTTGCATTCAAAACTTAATTTTTTTTTTTTTACATCAATTTATTTTCTTTATGTGGTTAACAGAGCTAACGACGTATTAACGTATGTCAAGTCGCATGCAAAACATCCTATGAAGAATCATATCAATATACTAAAATAAATGCTTTATTCGTATAATATTAAAATAAAAAATATGTAAACTTCTGAAAATAGCTAGATATTTGATGATGTTAATGAGAATTTTCTCTTTGGAAAATTTAATAAGGTTTTTTAAATTTTTATTTAATAAGTTTTGTTCATTATTTGTAATAAATTCTTTAACAAAAAAATAAAATTATTTGTAATAAATATATTATACTTGCTCGATGAGGACATTGATGGGACCATTGGAGACATGGTGGGTCTCTCCAAGAACGGGGTTGTACGGAGCCTGTCCAAAGAGTATCGGACGGAGTTTGGAGATGTTCCACGCTACAACCGATTTGAGCCGTTCGATGGGAAGATCGCGACGGCTGCATTCACCGAGCAGATCATGACCACCGAAGCTGTAGATCATTTCGCCGTATATTTGGAGTTGCGATTTTGTTAGGTTCAGCTGAGGTGGCATCTTTACGTTCAAAGAAAATAATTAAAAACGTTTAAAAGGAGAAAATGCATACTCATATTCTCAATGAATTTATTGGAAAAAAAGTTATAGCAATAATAAAAATTATCACTCCAAAGTTCTAAAAATAAACCTGAAAATTGGCGAGATCGGATCCTGGGCGTACGTTCTTGAGGAGGCCAAGGATCCGACGGATGACGGTTGAAGCGGTGTGCTCTGAATCTTTTTCATCTTCCAGAGAGAAAGGTTTGGTTAACACAGGCTGCCTTCTAGTTTCTAGTTCTTCTGCCTTCAAATACATAAAAACCACTGAATATTTTAGTTAAAACTATAAACACCTAACTAATAGAGTAGCTGTTTTCAGTAAAATAAAATAAAATGAAGTAGCTGTTTACTGCCTTCATATTAACCAGCATTTCTCACATCAGAGAGCTAATAAACTCTAGCTTATATATAGTACACAATTTATAGATTTTGAATGACCTGATAGCAAAATGACTTGACTATATATAAATTCAAATAAATACCAAGGGAACGTACCAACCAAATATAGTCTGAGTTTTCATTAAATACATGTGTTTCTGGTATAAAGAGAAGGATCATTCATAACTAGAATGTACAATTTCCTAACAGTTGGAACGATTAAAACTGAAAGAATGTGTGATAGAGTATGATCCACTTACCATTTGTTAGTCGTCGAAAGGAAGCGATATTTCTGAGTATTGTTGACGAGTTTTGTTTTCTAAATGAATGACTAAATAAAAAAAAACAAGGAGTACTATTTATGAAATTGAAATGAATCTAAAGATCTTAAAAACCATAGTGTTAAACATCGCAGTGACATTACTCATAGTACTAATTACTTTTAACCTTTAGCTCCATTTATAGAGAAACATAGACAAGAATATGTAATTAGAGAGAAGGGAAAGAATTGAATGAGCATTAACTATAGATTTGGAGGAAGCGTTAGTCGTTAGATCTAATCTTCGTATCATTTAATATCTAGTCGTTCGCTTAAATCGAACGTGGCTGTCTTGTGCTATTGTAGCTGTGCTTAGGAGTGATCCAAGACTTCTTTTTATTTTCTCTTGTTCTAGAAATCGTTTAAAGTTGACTTATTAGTGTTAATTAAGTAAGATTGGCATAATACTTCAACGTGCTCTAATGCTTAACTTATTATTAAGTTATGGATCCAAACAATACATATAAATCTGTAATATCAAATTTCTTATACATAACCGGATCATATTATATACAGATTCGGATAACTTTGTAGGGAGTAATGTATTTACTTTTGATCATACTGTATTGTCATATCTTCTTAGTAGAATCAACTTTATAGGGACAGGAAACTTTCTTTATTGGTTGGTGTGAGTGTTCATGTGTTTGATGCCGTTATTTTGGTATATCTATTGGTTCGGTCGTCCGGTATTTCGGTTTACAAAAAATGTTGCATATTGGTTCTAACCGAAGTCCAGCACGGTTTTACTACATAAGTTGACTACAAAGCGTAGGAGAAAGCTCACGTTCAACCTGTTAGGAAAGACGTTAACTCATAGTTGCAAATAGCCTTTACTTTTTTTTTTTTGGCTCAACATCAAACTTTTTACTAAGCAAGAGTTGAATACATGGAATTTGACCTCACAAGAGTACAACCACAGAAACAAAGATTGATCTAATATCGCCCATGAACACTAAGTTGGATCATACGCTACCCGATCATACCTTCTTGTACAGCAAATAGCCTTTACTTTACACGGATGTTATGTGGAAAGCAAACAGAATTCAACGTTGTATATATAATTTTTTTTGCCAAAACCTTATTTTGTTTATTTTTAACAAACAATAATCATTTTGTTTATGTAATAAAACTACGTTAATTGGCCTAATAGGATATGAACGCGGCTGTGTTACAGAAGAAAAAGGATATGAACGCGGCCTATTTTCATAAGAATTATTCAATGGTGTCCATCTACCGTTTCTCAGGGTACAAACGAATCGAAGGCAAAACCATTTTGTTAGCCAATCTAGAGAAATATTTCTTGCAACGAATATATTTCCATTTTCGCAGCTTCAGCTTCGTAGGAAACACAAAGTGCTTTGGCTCTTCGACCGGGAAGGATGGCTTGGGGAAGCCGTGGCTGAGCATGGCCGGAGGAGGACTAAGCGGAGGAACAATCTCCACCGGCTGAGTATTAATTGGAGTCCCTGGCTGCATTTCCCACTTGAAAGGAACACCCTCCGACGACCTCCGTTGATAGTAGTATCCGACCGATGAGTTTCTTGACATTGATGGCGATCCTTTCTTGCATATGTCGTTCTCCATAACTAGCACCAATGATCCTTATGGTGTTTTGAGTTATATGCTATGTTCTTGATTCAGTTTATGTGAGTTCTTGGTTTGATGTTTTCGTATGAAGACAAAAGAAGTGAATATGTTAGGATTTTGGGAATTATGGTTACAAGGAATAGTAATATATATAGAGTGAGATTCTTGTCCCGCCGAGAAGATGAAACGCAACATGTTATGATTGATCAAGTTGATTTGTAATATTGTATTCTATTTAGTTTCTGGGGTATATTGTAAGTATGCATTGAGGGTTTGTTGACTTTGTACAATAGATACTATTGCTTAATACTTCAATGACTCTTGCTTTTACACGGTCAAGGTACCACTTTATACTACATTATCATGGTTCATGAATCCAATTCACATGGACTCGTATATGGTATATGTATGTGAATAGATGGATGTGTATGATTCATTCCTATAAGTTGCAAAATATTAGATATATATATGATATTTGGTCAAATCTGTGTTAACTTTGATACGAAGCGCACGTTAGTTACTTTGATGTTGGACGGTTCAAACGCGCATGTGAGGGCTCAAACCAAAACTCTAAAGAAACGCCAAACTTTGCGTTTTCTTTAATCATCAATTATCTACGTTACCACTCATCTTGTCATCAATCGCTTACAAACGGTATCACAAAAAAACTAACATGAAACTTTTAATCGTAAAGCAAGCAACCTACGATATTCTATATTTTTCAGTGAGATGCATTGTAATGTTTGCGTTTTGGTAATGTCAAATAACCAGGATTGAAAATAAGAACCTTAAGATATTCTAGTAGTAATATCAAACCATATAATGTAACGTAAAATACCCCCAACAAAATCTATCGTCTTACGTCAATTTAGGTGTGGACGGTCTTCCCAATCACAGGATTCGGGGCTTTCAATCATAAAAGAATCAAAGCGAACAAGTCAAGTATCTTTAGCTTGGGGATGACGACATGACGCCTCGTGGTCCTAGTTTTTTTAAGCCTCGTAGGGATGTAATCCCCATTCCTCTGGTTTGAAATCTAGCAGAGGGACTAGAACTTGATCCGCAACATCACAATGGGACTTATCCGGATCTTTTACCATTATCACATTCTATCTGCTCACACACGGACACACCATCACATTCTATCTTACTGGGCTTCATTTTAGTCATGGGCTAATTTGGAGGTTTGGACTGACAACATTTCATGAGCCTTTGAGCAATAAATGGAAATTTGGCATCTTAAAAACTATATGTTACTTTGTTTTGATCAAAACTATATGGTTAATATGATACTGTGGAATGTAATGTCGAAACTTTTTAGTATTTGAATCGATGTGGTATAAGATGAGTATGTAGAAATGATATGGTTACATGGTATGGTGAAAGGAATTTTCGATTTTAATCCTGCCCTGAAACTTGAGCAACTGTTTTCGTTTGTACACTTTATACTCGTCCATATGAAAATTTGTCAGCATTTAAGCAAAAAAAAAAAATCTTGCTTAGACAATTGAAGATTTTAAGATATCTTCGTAGTTGACAAAAAAAAAAGATGTCCTCGTTAAAAGTAAAAGTGTGAGAACATATCAAATAAAATTAAAATAGGCTTAAGAAGTCTAGTAGTTTTCTCTGCTTTTCCGACAAATGTCTAGTGAACATGCATCACCTCCAACTCACTTCTAAATCAAATCTTCATTTTATTTCTTGCCAAATCCTAAAAAAGGTATTTATATATTAAAATATATACTCTTTTTAGGTATTTTCTTGCACACAATTATTGTTTCATGACATAAAAACTTTATTATAGTTTGTCTCTTTTAGAACTTCAACTCTCATTATGTTTGTGGTAATGTGACTAGAGACATCCAAATCCATCTCTATCTTCGAGTAGCATGTTCACAATATTATTTTATTACCTATGAGCAATGCACCCACAGTTTGATTAATATAGTCGATGGATAGATCCAATCTGTTTGGTCAATCAGTTAATTAGCAGAAGCATATTGTTGCTTAAACTAACAAATATAATAAAGTGACACCACATTCTGACAAATTTTCATATGGATGACTCCAATTTTCCATAATGCTAAGAAAATTCAAAAACAAAACATGTCAACAATCAAATGTTTGGCCTTAAGGCTAAACAACTCGTCTTCTGTTTGTATTTTGACATTGACAGGGCACTAATCTTCGACATTGGTCTTATCCAATGGGAGATCCATTTTAAAAATAATCTATTATATTTTTCTAACTCTTTAATCTAATCTAATTCAGTTTAATGGAGGATGAATTAGGTATAAGTGGAACCAAGTTAAAATACTAATAACAAAAGACAAAAGGTTATTAGTTAATTGACCATGTATGGTTTCATAAGGCGGTGACCTGGATAGATAGACTGATTCAAAAGAAATGGCATTCCATTAGTTGATGGTTTTGTGATAACTGAGTGTATGTGATTTTGCAATGAATTATTTTAGTAAATAGCTTTGCTTTAATAGACGTATATCCCGCTATAGACCTTCAATAATACAATATGTATTACATTTTCTCTTTTACAACAAAGACATTATTAAGTTTTGCCACAATACACTCTTCTCTAAGATAAACCAATCATTAATCATGACTGTTGAACTTAGGAGAACATAAAACTTGGTATCCTTGTCTTTTTAGCCAATCAATCATAGATATGAAACTAGATATTGAGAGACTTGAAGATCAATCTTCAAGTTTTGATGCAAAAATAGATCAATCTATAGAATTAGTGATCATGGCAATCAAGTCCGCAAAATAAACAGTAATAAAATAAAGAATCGATATCATTTCATAGTCAATAGTAGCAAGTCAAGTTCGACATTACAATGGAAAAAAGCTTATTCAAAATATTCTCGATTCTGTATGTAAAATCTTTATCTTCTGCAGTCAGTATTCATCTTGTTCACGTCAGAACAAAAATAGGGGTCTATCTACTAAAACGACATGAAATAAATATGAATAACATGTTTGTAATTTAAGTGAAGTGGAGCACTGTGTTATTGAATAAGGTGACCATTTTAACTGATGTCACTAATGAACGGATGGATGAACAGTCGTTTTATATCATACCATCTTCCACTATGAGATAAACTATAACTTATAATCGCTCATTTACTCAAAAGGTGTAAGTTGCTCAAAAAAAAAAAAAAAACTCAAAAGGTGTGATCATTCTAGAACCCATTCATTAAAACACTAATTTGATGTTTTCTGGTTAAGAATTGTGATATTATTTGGATTATGTATCATCCCAAACCACTAAATGACATACGTTTAAATCTTGGTCTTTTAGACATACTCCGGATAAGATTATTCATCATTAACTATTGCTTTCCCCTATTGGAAAAAATCAATGAAATTAGAAAAAAAAAAAAAAATCAAATCCAAAGTTCAACCAAAACCTAAACCGGATTTGAGTACGGTTTTCATAGAGAAGAAAATAAGATGATTTGTGATTGATCTAGCCTACCATATCCAAATCTCAAAACAAGTTTCCACTGACACATACAGATTAACTTAATCTTGGGATTAATCAACTAAATTAAATAGATTAGGTACAAACTCCCATACCTAATAATATGATAATTACTGGTACATCATATACTACTTAAGAAAACACCAATGATAGTTTATAACAATATACTATAGTAATAACACCATATCATAAGCCCATGGTTTATCCAATGATTCTCTTTGCATTTTCTAATCCCCACATACAAAACCTTCAACACAACCATTGGCTCTTTTCAACTAACTTTATAACTCTTTTCCTTCTTTGACTTTAGCTCACTTCCAAAGTTGACTACCCAAAAAAAGATGAAAACAAAAAAAGAAGAACACACAACTTTGACATTGTGTAAAACATAGAATGTTTGAGGTACCTAAGAACAATGAAACATTAAAACACTCAATCTTCACTAATCTTGCAAATGCTGTCCTCAATCTCCTCCTCCTCTTCTGCATAAGGACTATCCAAAGCCCTCTTCTCCTGCTCTTCCACGTCATCAGCCACCGTCAAGCTCCCATTCTGACCCCTCAACTCCCCCTTCTTCTCATTCCTCTCCGCCCTCCTTCTCAAATCCTCCAACAGCTCCCTCACAGCTCTCTCCTTATCCCTCCTATTCTTAATCAAACTCTCACTCACATCCGCCGGCGTGATCTCCGCCTTCTCCACCACTCCCTCCAGCTCCTCCAAAACGTCGTCGCTTAAATCCCCCTCCTCGTATCCCAAGTAATTCCTCAGCAAGATCTTCAACGAAGGAAACGTACAGTAACTCATGTACACATGCATATCCATCCTCCCACTTCTCAGCAACGCGGGATCAAGCTTCTCTATATGATTCGTCGTGAACACAAAGATCCTCTCGCTTCCACAACAAGACCAAAGCCCATCAGTAAAATTCAACAACCCCGACAACGTAATCGTGTTCCCATTCCCGTTCCCAGACTCATCTCCTAAACCGGACCCGGTTAACATCACATCCGGTTCATTAAATTTCTTTCCCCGGTTAGTTAAATTAATCGAACAATCAATATCCTCGATCACAATAATCGACTTCGAGCTCGTCTTCATCAACAGCTTCCTCAACTCCGAGTTACTCTTAACCTCGGTTAGCTCAAGATCATAAATATCATACCCAAGATAATTAGCCATGGCTGCGATCATACTCGATTTCCCGGTTCCGGGTGGACCGTATAACAGATAACCCCTCTTCCAAGCCCGACCGGTTTTATTATAAAAAGACTGACACTCAACAAAGTCTTTAAGATCCTCCATGATCTCTTTTTTCTTAACCGGATCCATAGCAAGAGTCTCGAACGTGCTCGGATGCTTAAACGGAACAGACTCCCAAGGAAGCCCTCTCGAATCCAACCCCCCGCCACCTCGCGAGTTCGTGTAAAGAAGCCGATCTTGATTCCTCCGACGAATCTCCTCGGCCTTCTCCACGATGTGATCCAAGTAAGAGTCAAGAATCAAGATTTTGTCCTTTTTCTTGATCCGGAGCGTGAAGCCTCGCTTCTCCTCGGGCATTGGTCTCCAGGCGAAGGTTTGGGTTTGTCTCTGTGTGACGATGTGTTCCCAGAGGACGGTGACGGAGTTGAACGTGTCGGCGATGGAGTCGTTGTTGGAGAGGCCGAAGGTGATGGAGGAGGAGTTGAGGGCGCGGGTGAGGGAGAGGCGGTTGGAGGAGAGGGAGGAGACGGAGGAGGAGGTGAGGTAGAGCTGGACGGCATTGTAGAGCTCGTTGGTGTTGACGCCGTTGTCGATCTCGGTGATGTCGAAGTAGCAGAAGGAGGAGAAGAGTTGGAAGAAGCGGTTGATGAGTTTGAGGGAGGCGAAACGGAGCTCCGGTGGGAAGACGGAGTTTAGGAGGGTTTGGCAGAAGGCTAGGACGCCGAGGAGGGATGCTAGAGAGGTCCAATACTCTTTCATTGTCTTTTTGAGAGAGAGAGAGAGAGAGAGAAGAGAGAAGACAGAGAGTTTTAAAAGAGTTTAGTTGAAAAGGTGACAACTTGTGTTCCAGAAAGAAAAAAAGGTGACAACTTTACGGCTTAATCAAAGTGAAAATATTAAAAATGGGGTTTTTGAGAAACGAGGGAGATTTCAGATTTGATTGATTTGTCGGGTCAATGAACTGATTTGATTGATTTTGTATAGAGTTTTCTTGAACAACGAGTTTCTCGTTTTTTCCACGGAGAATATTCAGATGAAGAAAAAAAAGGAGGAAGCTTAATAAGCTTGTGATGCTGTTGTAGCTGGATGTGTCATTGAGAAGAGAACAGTTTTATCTCAATTTATACATACAATTGGACAATTTCTTTTTTTTTGATTTGAGAAAAAAAATCTTAGTTTCTTTTTGGGAAACTTATTTTAAAAGATTTTTATAGAGAAAATATATTAAAAGAGACAAAACGGCTTTGGAAATGTGGGGGAGTTTCCCTTCATAAGTTATATGAACAAAAATAAGTTTTTGGAGCAACAATAGGAAAAGAATTGAACCAAAAAAAAAACAGGAAAAGAAGACCAGATTTTGGTTTTTTAAATATACAAAGATATTGGTCAAACTTCTAGTAATTGAAACATTATAGAAGAAATATATGCTTTGACCAAATAAAATCGAAGTAAATATTATTTTGATATAACAACTTTGTAACTGAAATTAATAACTTTCTTAGTGAAGCTATTTAGCTATTTGAATGTTGTGTATTTTATTATATGTTAAGTTTTAATTAAGTATTAATATATAAATTAATACATCTAATAAATGAAAAGAGAAGGATACAAAAATCTTTCACAAGTCTATTTATTGGATTGTTTGACTTTGAGGTTAGTGTTCCTTATAGTATCTAAACTATTAAAGGGGAAGTACAAAAAAAAAATAAACCTTAGTTTTTCTCAAAAATTACAATAGAATGCCACTACAATAAAACTGTAGTTTTACTCTTATATGGGCTTCAATATAGATTTAAGGTCCACTAATTTTGAATCAAAACCAAATTGCCCAATTCAGTTTTAAAAATGACATCTGTTAATAAAATTGCCAAAGTTCTTACTTTGTGAATATATTTAACTATTTCTATCTAAATAATTTATTTAAAAAAAATATCTATAAAATCTGATTTTAAATAATAAAACACACACAATCTAGACAAGACTCTAATATTTTACACTTAATGGTTTAGTTTACCAAGTAAGAAAATGTAAGATATCAAAACCATAACCGAGCCTAAAATTTATCTCGATTATATAAAACATAATCATTGTAAATAAAATTGCTAGAGCTCTTATTTTTTGTGATTTGTTTTTTTAATTCTTGCTAACTAAATAATTTATTTTAAAAGAAATATCTATAAAATCTGATTTTAACTAATAATTTCAATCATAAAATTTATAATATAATTTAATAAAACACACACAATGTACACAAGATACTCTAAAATTTTACACTTAATTGTTTAGTTTACCAAGTAAAACAAAAAATGATATAAAAAAATAGAGCTTGATAGTTAAAAAAGAGACACTAAACAAAATGAACAAGATACACCGACATCATAACTCAATAACCTATGAAACATAAATATTAATGTTTTTATAACTAATACAATAATATATTTATACAGAACATACATCCGTGCGGGCGCGCGGGTCAAAAGCTAGTTTCCTTTAAAACGGAAAACGTTTTTATCTTTACAGTTTTGTGTGTTTGGGGTAACACAATAATGTTGAAATTAGTTTTAGTTTCATATTCGGCGGTGCCTAATAATTTCAATTATTCTTCGGATTATAATTGTGAAAAAGACATGACAGATAGTTTGAGAACTTTGAATCATTGGTTTGTTGCACAACCTTCTGTCTTTAGGAAGCAAACGATATTATTCTAAATAATCATAATTTCAAACTGGAAAGAAAACATGGACAAAAAAAACAACTCTCTTCGCATTCCTCATGTGTAAATAATCTTATGCAGGTGTATTCATTTATTGTTTTGCCAATGAAATTCACATTTGACAATGTACTTTTTTTTAATCTATTACGTAGTCTTATTTAAAATCTTATACATGAAATGGTGAATTTCGGGATTTTTATCAGGTCTACCTCTGGCCTCAAGTCCAGTAAGTTCGTGTTTGGGCCCTGCTAGTATATATATATATAAATAATCTAAGGACCACAATAGGCCCTAGTCCAGTAAATACACTACTACGTACACACCTATTTTCTCAGGCAATGGACTAATGATATTTATGTAAGAAATTTTTGCATTTACTTCTTTTTTTTTTTGCAAACTAAATTTTTGCATTTACTTAAAGATATAAAATTATAATTTAGAGACGAATCAATAATCATATTCTTCGCATTGATCAACATTATTTTGGATCAAGTCCTTTAACAGAGTAAATAATTATGAGGAGGACTTAAACTGAAAATAACGTTTAGGGGAGTAGAGGCGGAAGAGGTTGAAGGCGGAGATGAAGGAGAGGATGATCATGAGCACCGCTGCGATGTAGTTTAAGATGATGGCACTTCCGATCTGAAAGCAGAACCTTGTGAACTTGTAGCACCACTTCATCCACTGAAGCTCCCTTGAACCAGTCACCACCAGCAATGAGTGTTGCGCCGCCGCAGATGCCCCGGCGAACACCACGTACACCGCCGTCTAATTTCATTTTGAAACTAATAATATTCACATCTATATAGCAAAGCTAAAGATACTATAAATCAAAAGAGTTAATATGTATACCTCACTACAAGAAAACTCGTCCATTACTAGGACGGGTTTTCCTCGTTAGTTCCTAGTAAATGGCCTTTTACTAGGAACTTACGAGGAAACGCGTTTCCTCGAAACACGTTCATCGTAAAGACATTTTCCTCGTAAGGTTGTAGCGAATTTACGAGGAAAGTTTTCCTCGTAAAGGCGTGGTAATATTTTCCTCGTAAGG